CAGGGGGGGGGGGGGGAAGAGGAGGCACCTGGCATGCTGTGGATAGGGAGACTACAGCTTACCTCGCCTCTCTTTGAGATACTCGGGATCCACCAGGACGACACCATCTGCGGGAGACAAAGAACAGAGTGCCTCAAATTGACCTCTCAAACCCAAGCCCCAACATCCACTCAAACTCAAACCTAGCCATCTTACAATGGCATCACAAGAGACACAGGAAGGCCAGCACCCAGGGGTGATACCCTTACCTCCCAGCCTCATCTGCCCATTCACCACAGGAAAGTCAACAGACCCAGTTGTGACTTTGGACAAGTTAGTACTCCAGTTCTTCATCTGCTAATAATGGCTAATATAGGTCTGAGACCCCTGGGCCATGTATTCTTTGGAATTTTGAATAGTAGAAAGATGACAGGGTACATGGTCCATTTGGGTACCACCCTCTTGCAGGATGAGCACCTACTATCAAAGCTGTTGATGTCTTTGCAGGAAAACACAACTTAGTCACAGACTGCAGAACAATGTTTCAACGAATGTTTCAATGACTTTCAACGACTCATACACAAGATGATCCCATAAGATTATACTATTTGGCTACATCACAGTCATCTTAGCTTGTGTGTAAGCACACTATGTCCTTCACACAAAGAAACACTTAAGGACATTTCTCAGAATGTGTCTCCATCATAAAATGACTGTATACTTACCAAGAGGCTAATTAAGGTAAATGGCCTTGGGTCAGTTTAGGTCAGCTTTGCCAATAAACAGACTCTGCAAAGCTTAGAACAGTGAGATTTTCAGAACTTTCTGGACTTGGGGTCTGTGAATCAGGACTCTGATTTGTATCATCAACCTCTCAGGGCTCGTGTAAGGACAAATGGGCAGTCTGTGTCAATATGCACATGTGTAAAATCTGTCACATGTGGAGGTGCTTGGACAGACCTCAGCATATGCAAGCATGGATATTATGGTCTAGATCTTAAATGTTCCCCAAAGGTTCATATGTTGAAGGTTGGTCCCCAGTGTAGCAGTGCCAGTTTGGAAGGTGCCTGGCTCATGAGGATTCTAACCATCAATGGACTGATGGATTCATAACTCAATAGGCTGCTAGAAGGTAGTGGAAACTTTGGAAGATGGAGCCTTGTTAGAGGAAGTAGGTCACTGGGAGTGGGCTTTGAAGGGTATATTTCATCCCCAGTCCTTCTCTGCTTCCTGGCTACCATAAGGTGAGCAGCTCTGTTCTACACTACACTCCCCACCATGATGCTCTGCCTCACCACCGTGCCCCAGAAACAATGAAGCCACAGACTAAAATCTCTGAGTCATGAGCCAAAAGAAATCTTTCTGCCTTTAGGTGGATTTTTCTCAAGCATTTTGTCACAGCAATAAAAAGTGACCCACACACCAGGTGGGGAGAGTGTGGAATGGCCTGGGCCCCTCACAAGGCCTGTCCTTGTGAGCAGAGCATTCAGCAGGACACAGGGACATTTTCTCAGCTAAGCACCTCCCAGGAAGCTAGGAACTCTGGCTCAAGGTTCACTTCCTTGTCTGGCATCCCCATATATCTCGAGCCAAATATGCTCTCTCTCTTTTTCTCTTTCTCTCCCTCCTTCTCTTTTCTCTCACACACTGTCACACCACCTCCATGTTGTCCCTGTAACTGACTGCTCAGAGAATCTCAGACACAGAAAGTGAATGCCTTGGTCTCAAGTCATAGGGAAGCTAAACAAAAATGTTCCCAATCCATTCTCAGGGTCCCCCCACATATTTCCTCCATTCATGATAGACATCGCCTTTGTGCCATGTTATGCACTGGGCACCTGGAGCTCAGTGGAGGGTTGGTACAGTGTCCCATTAAAGGCCCTTGCCCCTACCAGTGGTGCCATAGAAGGCTTCCTAGGGGAGGGAACCTGGAGCCACATCCCATAGGACAAGGAAGAGTCACTGACTAGATGACCAAGGGGTATGACAAGATAGGCAGAAGAAGGAAGAGCTCACCTCTGAGGCCTGGGAGCATGAATTCTAAGGCTGGTAGGAGAGGATGCCCAGACCTGTTGGTAACTGCTTCATCAGCTGGGTCAGGGGGCCCTGGACCAGTATTAGGTGGTAGACAAGACCAGCTCAGAGAAAAAGCAGCGTCATGGTAGACAGGACAAATCACTTCTCACTGCAGCATGTGACTGAACCTGGACAGTACCTCAGAACCCACCTGGTCCCCAGGTCCAGCAGAGGAACTGGAATAAAGTATGTACTCTCAGGTGCCAATATGTGTGCTAGAGAGCTGGTTCCCTCCTGCACAGGCTTTCCCACAGCCTCTGCTGCTGTGCCTAGTAGAGTTAAACTATGTTCAACCTGACCTCAGAGTGTCTGACCTCAGAGGAAACCACCTCTTGACACCCAGCACAGGAAATAACCAGGATCACTGCCCAGGAGAGGCCAGTTCAGAAGAAGGTACAAATGGTAGAACTGAGCATCAGAAGACACTAAGCACTCTCCCCTGACAGGGCTGGAGAGGAAAAGTAGAGTGGTTCTACCCCAGGTCATAGAAGAAATGGCCTGGAATAGAGTGGGAGTCCACAGCTTCCCAGCCCTGCAAGAAGTCCATGGGCACAGGGCCCCAGGCCTCCTACTCATAGTCACAAAGGTCTTCCCCCTGCTGCTGAGCCCTGTCCCCTTAACTCTGGAACAAAAAGTATTACTACTGCCCTCTGTCTGGCTCTAGGACAGGCCAGAGGGACACAGTAACTTCTCTGGGACAACTTCCCAAACCACAGGTCCCAGTTTCTTCACCTGGCCCTGGCCTCAGGCAGTTTCCAGCCACCATCCTTGTGACCTGTCACCTCCTTTGCATCATTTTGGCTTGTTCATATCCTCCTTTAAGAATAATTCATCCTCTCTGGCCTCAGTGTATCCATTTTGCAAAACATGGTGGTTCTGGGCCTCCTTTGAACAGTATGAAAAGAGGTCAAGGTCTTCCTACAAAAGCAATGGTTCGCATGCACCTTTAATCCCAGCACTCGGGAGGCAGAGGCAGGTGAATCTCTGAGTTCAAGGTCAGACTGGTCTACATAGGGAGTTCCAGACCAGCTGGGGCTA